CTGTAAAGAATCGATACGAAGCGCAACCGGAAAACTAGCCTGATTGCATTTGCATGCGCTCAGGCTCGACTCAGGGCTCCGATATTAATTGGGAAAGCAATTTTATGCAACGGACAACATTAAAAGGACCGTCGTGTTATTGGAATGCGCATTTTAATTTCGTACGCATTTTAGTTTGTCTATAGAATAAAAGCATCTTGACTTTCGGTAAATCGAAAATAAAAATCTCCTACTTTAAATATTTTTTATCCTTATTTTTTAACGTGGTCGTATATTAACGGGAAGTAGTTTAAGCTTTCGCCGAAAACAAATTGAGATGACTCGCCAACCTGCGTAACAGGATGTATTTAAAGGGGATCTGACGATATCATCACGATATATATTCTTCTCTTGTCATGTTGTGAAAAGAATGTAAATTTTAAATGGAATAGGAAACGTTCGTTCAGTCCATCTTTATTTATCAATATAAACAAACGTATAAAGATTAATATTAAAGCGTAAAGAGACCACAACCACAAGCTCAAAGATCCTTTTTCACATGACATGAGAAAGATAGAACATCTCTGTGAAGCAATGCCAAGAATGGGAACACGGCTTCTCGGCAACATGAATGGCGGGAATGGGGCAGAATATTAATTTATTTCGAGGCAATAGATTATGCTATATTAATTCATTTGTAATATATTATATATACAAATTTATTGCCTCGATATTGAAGTGAAAAAATAACTCACCAGCCGATGCGCAACAGCGGAGTAGTAAGCTGCAACCCTGCGTTGATCTGTAACATATAAATATTTTTATATTAAAGCAGCGTCCAAGAGAGATAACCGAGACTTAAAGTATATATAAGTAATTAGTAAATAATTATCGCGCCCGTTAAATTTTAAGCCAGTCGCGAAGGATGGCAATTACTATAGTTAAAAAGTGCTATTTTCGGTTGCCGCTAGTTACTCTGTCGCCAGAAAATTAAAAGTTCGCCAACTCTCTTCTTGACAACCACAACTGACAAACGGAGCGCAAACGGAAATAACACTTTTCAATTAGCAGTTGCCATCATTCGCGCGACTCGCGACGAAGGACGGAGCGTTTGCGACGTATTGTAGAATGGCCCTAAGAGAGACGCGACGTTCGCTATACGTAATATCTCGCGTATCGCATATATGCCGGAGATCAAACTCCGACCGAAATTGCGCCGGAGTAAATAAACTTGGAAAGTGGCGGAATCCGCCACAGAACAGCAAAATAATAAACAATCACTCACCCCACGGATGCCCCGCTGTCGCCCGATGCCTCCCAGGCCCCCTCCTCCTCTCCTCGGTCCTCCCCTTCGTTGTCGCATCTCCGTGTCGGAG